AGCTTGTGGTATGTCGACATGGTGGCATCGCAAACGCTCTGGTGAAGCTGCTTGAGCGCATTGTCCGTCTTGGGAGGATAGACCTTGGCTGGGAGATGCGACGTTAGTCTTTTGGACCCGCGTACTTCAGTCAACGTAGGGCGAACCTTTTGCGATGCCAAGCGCGCGCAAGACTCGGTCGATGAAGAGAACGCCCGACAATGTTTTGCGATGGGCGTCAATGTCTTGCAGCAGTTTGCGGTCGTAGGGGCTTTGTAAGTTCGCAGGAAAGACCTGCTGAAATTTGGTATAGTCTAACATGGCGATCAAAGTATGCAGCAGTAGTGAAATTAGAAGGAAAGTGCTAGACGCATGCCTTGGGTCGAAGAAAGATGTTGGAAGCTCGAGGTTTGTACAAAACAAATCACGTGTAGCGTAGCGACCAGTTCTCGGTGTCGCGACGCCCCACCAGAGCTGCTGTGATGTTGCGCGAGGTGTTGAAGAATGAGTGAAAGTATGCAATCAATCGAAAACTACTCGACTTATCAGTAAATAAATAGTACGCGATTGAGCAAGAATTTAGATGCATCTATGGGTGTCAAGTACGCTTAATTCAAGTTCACTTTTGCATCTGTCATTCAAGCTATTTAAACATGTTACTTCGTGAAGCACTTCGGGATGCCGCAGAAATAGCCGCGCACCAAACTCAGATGCAATAATTTCAACAGTGCTCTTACCAAGTTAGGAAGGCCAAGTTCAAAAAGCCGAAGAATGAATTGAAAAGACGTTATGGTAATGTGGAATAGTTACGGCCCTACCTGCAACTTGCCTGGACCACTTGGCCCACTCTCCTCGCATCGAAGGCTCGTGAGTGGCTGTATTGAAACCATTGTTTACAAACCCCCATTTCGGGCGAATCCAAACAAAAGCCACTTTACCTGGCTCAGGCACAACACGCGCGGGGTGACCATTACCGACTTCATCAGTAAACACGACAGATTACCCTTTCGCAGCAGGGATCTCCAACCAGAAAATTCCCTTCTTTGTTTCTGGTAGAACGCCTCACACACTCGACCGACCGAAGTGACTGCGACAGCCATATTCACCATGTCGGCTGCGGCATCACGGTCGTCCCGACGCGTTGCTACACGCCGTAGGGCCGTCGTCGACTCCGACGATGAGCTGTCCGTCATTAGCAAAACTCAAGACGACGAGCTCGATGAATTGGACCAAGATATATCGCAACTTCCGCAGCGCAGGACACGAAGCGGCCGTGCCTCGATGGCCTCTACCACAACCGCCAAACCCAGAGCGACGAGGACCACGCGCAAGGTGTCGGCTCCCGCGCAGAACGCAAGCGTAGAGCCCGAACCGGCCCCAGAACTTGAAGAGAAGCCTGCCCCCGAGTTTGCGCCCAAGCAGGATGAGAATACGCCCGTCGAAGCGGCCAGCGACCCAGTCAAGACTGAGCCGGCGCCTTCAGAGTCACCAAAGCGCGTCCGCCGGAGCGCTACGCCGCGAACCTCTGTGGCCGAGGCGCCCAAGCTCGTACCTCAGACTCCGAGCAGCAAGCCTCGTTCACCGCAGATTGGCGCGCCCAACGCCTCGCCGCTTGCCGATATCACTGGCATGAATACTCGCCTCCCGGACGTGACGCAGACCGTCAAGCCGATGAGGTCTATGGACACATTCCTCGACAAGCCGCTTGACATCGTGGTCAAGCAGCGTACCATGGCAATTCCCTTTGTCGAGGATACAACACCGAAATCGCGTATTGTCATCACGTATCTCATTCTCACAAACTTCAAGAGTTATGCTGGGCGACAAGAAGTTGGCCCTTTCCACGCTACCTTTTCGTCGGTAGTTGGGCCCAACGGATCTGGAAAGTCCAACGTTATTGATTCGCTCCTGTTTGTCTTTGGGTTCCGCGCTAGCAAGATGCGACAGGGCAAGATCTCTGCTCTTATTCACAACTCAGCCCAATACCCTGACCTCGACCATTGCGAGGTCGCTGTTCACTTCCAGGAGGTCATGGATCAGGTTCGTGGTGTCGGACTTACTTCACATCTTAACTCCACTAACGTTGCATAGCCTGGCGGTGGCCACGTCGTCATTCCGGACTCAGAATTAATCATCTCTCGCAAAGCCTTCAAGAACAACTCGAGCAAATATTACATCAACAACAAAGCATCCGATTTCACGACTGTCACTACTCTATTGAAGGACAAGGGTGTAGATCTGGACCACAAGCGTTTCCTGATTCTCCAGGGTGAAGTCGAGTCTATTGCACAGATGAAGTCCAAGGCCGCAAACGAGCATGAGGACGG